CGCGCGCGCCCGCCTCCCGCCCTCAGGGCCGGCGGCGACATGGCCTCGGGGCACGTACCGCGTCCGTTATCCCGCAGAACTCGTCCAGCCTCCGCAGCAGCTCTTCAACCGCCTCCTCCACTTCTGTCACCTGGGGGGAGAAAAACGGTCACAGGGGCCAGGCTGGGTGCCCGCCGACGGCCAGGCACCACACCGCTCCCCCCCGCCTTGCCATCCCACTGGGGACCCCAAGCCAGGCTGGGGAATTTTAGGCAATCACCATATCACCAGCTCCAAAAGTTCAAAAACCAGATGCACAGAATTCATTGTCTTGAGAAATGTAAAATTTGGAGGCTCTAGGAGACACCTTTCACGCCCACACCAGAAGGTGACCCATACAACAAGGCAGGACATCCCCAACATCTACCTCCACATGGGTTTCCAGTTCTAGATCTCACAGCGACTTCCCCAGCAGACATCTAAACACATAAAGTCAATGTGTATTTTGGCAAAAGTTCCTTGCCAAGCATCTCACTCAAGTTTTGAAGAAGAAAAGTTTATTCTAATGCTTGTACTTGGAGGTAACAACAAAGCGTGATTTATAAAAGTCAATTTGAAGTTACAGCCCATGTTATTCACTGATAGAAAAATTGTTAAACCCCCCAAAACCCCAAACCATTAGCAAATACCCAAAAGAAAAAAAAAAAAAAACAACAAACAAACCCCAAACTACTTTGACTATTCTGAAGCGGAGAGAACATTAAGAACCAAGAGCTGTGCAGAAGGGCAGTTTTGGACAGCTACTGAAATGGTTTTCCCATATCAGAAAGGAGCCCGTATTGAGATCAACAGCTACAAGAGCGTCAGCCTAAAGCCAAGAGCCCGGGCATACCCACTGCTGCAGAGGACAAAAGCTGACTCTCACTCTTCACTGAAGTTTAGAATTAAAGACTGTTGTTCACAAAATCCCAGTAAAGAACTGCAACTACAACCTTCTATTCTGAACATATTTTTAAAAACAAATGGAATAATCAGAGCTCAAATACAAGAAATGGAAATCAGTAGAATTAAAAGGCCACCCCAAATCCTGCATTATTTATAAAACCTATTCCACATAAATGGAGCAAACGTCATTCTCTGCAGAGCATGAGTCAACTTTCCAGCTCAAATGAGGTGGTGTTATCCCTCTGGAAGCCTATTTGCAGCCAACAACAGAACAGATCTGAGGGAACCATTTCAGGTATGGAGGTATTCCTGGAGGTTGCTTCTGCACCAACACTAAGATGGCGGCAATAGGGAAGGCAAAACCTTTCTGCCAGAGAACCAGAGAGGAGGAGCAACAGAGAAACACAAGTTACTAGTGGGGCAACAAAGTACACGCATCACTCTAGAAAGGGTGTTGTGAAAAGGCTGCTAGAAGTCATCCGAGGAGCAGTCACATGAACCCAGGAGACCAAATCCACCATGTCAAGTGAGCACGCTAGTCTAGGTCTGCAGTCATGCAAGTTGGGGAAGGACTCAACCCCTAGTTGCTTCAAGGACAGCGATTTAAAGACTAGAAAGGACAAATTGTGCTATCACAAAGAGGAAAGGGAGAACAAAAAAAAGTCTTAAGCACATGGAAGAAACGGTAGCTGTTTTCACAAGGGCAAACATGTATGTGCATATATAGGACATGATATGGGCTGAGGATAAATACCTACTCAGTAGAATGCAGGTATGAGCTCAGGCCCTGTTCTGAGTAGCAGGAATACGACCCAGTATGGCCCAAAAGCTCTTTGACTATGTCAGAGCAGCAGTGAGCTAAGACTGGTATGTATCGTCTCAGAGAAATTGTTAGCAGCTGGCATCTTCATCGGCTCAGTGACCATGCCTGTCAGCCTATTAAGGTTATTTCCTCAGATGCTTGTGTCTCAAACTCTGTGTGAAGCCTTCATGGTGGCATACACTATCACATTATATTCACATTGGAATTTCACTTATACAAGATTTAAAACCTACCCACAGAAGTTCCACCACCTCTTTTATGTGTACATATGTGGACAGGAGAAACCTCAAGACACATTACACTCCACAGGTTTATCAGGAAGGATCCATAGATGCTGTAAATCAATGCAAGGATTTCAGTGGTGCTAACACAAGTTTACATCCCCTGACAATCTTTTCCATGTCCAAGATAAGGGAAAGATTTCTCTGTAGAAAAGCTGGTTTCCTTCTGCCACTCCTTTGCATGCTTAAATAAAGGAACAGAATTTCCACATCTAATTTCTCCTCAGAAAGAAAGAGCACTCTTCCTCCCCACTGCACATAGGCTAACTCTGGAAAGATCACTGCTAAACAACAGAAAAACGCATTCTTTTCAAATAAGAAAGAGTTCCCAGTGATTTCACGTTACTGTAATACATTTAATTTGTGAAAAATCTGTAAGCATTGAGTCCGAGAGCCTGATTTCTCGAAGTCTTCATAAGGCAGAGAAACATAATTACTCACTTTTTTGTTAAGTGTATTTTACAGCAGAGCAATCTCAGTGGGTGGTACAAGCATCAGATGGCCTACGGAACAATTCTACTGAACTCCCGCCATTTCCTGGCAAGTCTGTGTGCAGTCAGCTTCACAGGCCTGAAGCCACTAACGCTAGCCACATGTTCAGGACTAGCACAGTTGGCCTAAATAGATAGTCCAAAACAGGTATCAAGCTTACAGCTTTGAAAAGGCTATTTAGTGGTAGCAATCGTTAAATGCACAACTGTAAAGCAGGTGTAAATTCTATTAATTTTACAGCTGATGCATTAAAGAAACATCCATTTAAAGAAGTTGCATTAGCTGCACAGGTTCCTGTCCTGCTCTGACTAAAATTCCAGACAGGCTTCAGGCTGGTAGCTTGCTGACACTACTGGCCCTTCTCGTATCTACCATGAGCATCTTGCATTCATAATGTTCACAAAGATTCAAACATTGGAGTAGCATGTGTTAGAGGACAGAAGCAAAGTTTATTGACACCAATGAGAATAAGTTAATTCAAAACAGATTCACAGTTAATCTTTAAAGACTGTTACATAGCCTGAAACATAACAGAAGACAACAATAAGAAACGATAAAAAATAGATGCAAACAAACCACTTAACACTATTTCTTCAAGGCATGCTACTATAAAAGCACACTAGGCATAAAAAAGCCAAAATACTACATTTAAAAAGGACTCAACCACAAAATACTTAGCAGTTCCATATGAATTGCAAAAGAGAAAAACAACATTCTAAGGGCTCAATGCATTTAAAACACCTTCAGAAATGGTTAAGAGGGGCCTGTTGCAAACTGCAATATCAGCAACATACTTAACATCATCTGTAATTAGGTACTTACTAAACAGACCATACAAGCTCCTTCCAGGTGATTACGGAACTCACTGTATATTTATCATTAAAATCTGAAATAAACCCCACTGAACACATTTCAAAGTTATACTGAAAATATGGGGTGACAAGTGTTTCTTAGTTAAGACTGTAATTTCACAATCACTTTAAAATTTTATAAGCTGTCATCGACAATAAAAGTAGTCTACCCTCACTCACTTCTGCCCCTAAAGCCAACCTTTGCATGTGAGAAGACAGATATTCACAGTGGAACAGAAAATTGTTCTGGGTTGAAAACTAACCGTTAATTTCTTTGCCATATCATTTTATCTCAGATCAGTTCTTCAACTCAATTCATTACACAGCCATGTTAGGGCTAGCATGGACAAAGAAAACAGGTAACGAGGGGAAGAGACACAGTTGGCTCTTTCAATAGCAGCGTTAACTTATCATGAAACCTTAGCCAAAGGCACAACAGCACCACTTCCAGATGGCATTTTAACGTTCCCATATATCCATTGTTGAGTCTCCTGTTTATTTATGGAAAGAAAACAAAACAAAATTAAAACCATTATTTCATTTTGTAACTTAGAAGGAAAAAATACACAGTCTAGCTTTGAGGTTAGCTTTCCTTTCAGACTTTCTTTTATGTCTGTATAGTACCCATACTAATATCCCTTTCTCACCACTTCCCTTTAAATGTCTTTGTTTCTCGACAGCAATCTCCTCCCTCTTCACTCCAAGCTGGAGATAAGATAAGCTTTTATAACTCCCCCATCACTGCCACCTTTCATTATGCTTCCATTCAACCTTGTAACAATTTACCTGCTTTTCCCAAGGATTTTTATTTTATTTAATACCAAGCTCACTCCTTGATAAAAAGATTTGGGTCAGATACCTTATATTGTCAACTGTTCAGGCCCATGAGATATTAATATAGTGTTCTAACTTATCACACTTCATTAAGGAACACGAAAAAAGAAAATTCAGCACTAAATCTCTTCTACAAAGTTTTCCAAAAAGCCTTCCGCTTTCACTCAAAAAGTTAAGCTGCCTTTGTTGGAATTCGAAGTGCTCTCCTAGCATGTCATTAAGGTGAAAAGGTAGGCATAGAAAACTTTAAAAATAGCCAAAGCAGAAAACCACACAGCTCTTTATAACATTACAGACTCCAGCAGGAACATTTCAATACTGCTGAAAATTAACAGGTTCTTCAGTACGATGTCCTCCTATGCCAGCTTCAGAATACTGAAAAAAACCCCCAAAACCCTACAAAGGGAAAACAATCAGTGTATGAGGGGAAACAAAAAGAGCAGAATGGCAAGTGTAATTTGATAGTAAAACTAAAGTCTTTCATAGCTATTTACAGGACGCATTCAAATCAGGCAGAATACTGTGTCATGCAGCGTACGCTTGAAAGCTTTCACTTAGCAAAATCTTCTATCGAACTGTACAAATACCTTATTTTGCATTCATCATTGTCATTGTCTCATTTGCTACAACTACTACACAAAATTAAAAATCATAATGAAAATTAGGAATTATATGCTAGAGGAAATTGTTAATCCTAATTTCAAGATTTAAAAAATGCAAAACTAAGGTGACCCTTTGTGAACAGGAACTGAAAGCCCTCATTCTGATTTCCACAACACTGTGATATGTGACAGAGATGAGCTAGCAAGGTAAAGCCCACAGGAAGAGACACTTAAGAATATTCCACAAAAGCTGTGATTAATCCCCAAGTAGGAAAATACCTAAATTATATTGCTGCTTTGAGCAAGCTAACAATATGTGCAAGAATCAAGAGAGTTCAGTACTAAACCAAGTGTTTCATTTCAGCTGAAGATGCCTGAAGGGAACAGAATGACTTGCAAGTAGCAAAGAACACAAGTTGTTTCTGTATTCGTTTTAAGGCTTGGCACTCAGTTACAAAAATACATAGTCTGCCATATAACACTATGCAGGAAACTTGTTTTATTAATTGGTAGGTTGTCTTTATTTCTTATTTAACACCAGTATGAGTGGCACTTGGTAAAACCAATAGAATTCAGCTGATATGAACTAATACTTTAATGAAACTTTTTCCCTAATAAGTAGTTCACTTTGCAGTGTCATCTTAATCAAGCCTAAAAATTCATTTTGCAATTGTTAATAGCATTAACAGTACTTATTTCTAGCCCTCTATAGATGTGTAGATGACTAGTAAAGTAGATCTTAATCCAGAAGTAAGACAAAAGCTGTCAGTGGTTTAAACCACATGAAAATTGTGTGGGTGTCCTGGACTAAGCATTTTATCATCTCCTTGAAAATGCTGAAGAGAAAAACAAAACAAAGATCCCAAGATTTGGATGTAAGTTGTCTGACTTATTGCAAGTCATAGATAACCACATATGGAAAGATGAAATTGATGGAGTATGGGAGAGGCATAGGAAAAAAACCCCTCTGAATAGCGAAACTGAACAAGAGTTTCCTATTCTTTTTTTTTTCTTGGAGACAAAAATAAATCACATTAACATTTTACTGCCAAAATAAAGGAAAGAGGTGGGGCAAAGCCGTTTTAAAGACTGATTTAGCAGTACCCTTTATCTTGAGAAGAGAAAATTTTAAATATCTGCCCAAAGAGAACATTATTCACTTTACATCACCACCAGGCTCAAGTGGGATAGGAGCTACCTACCGGTCAGAATGGGGGATACTCCCAAGTGCTCTCTACTGCTGGTAGGAGGGAGTGTCTTAGCCTACAAAGTGCAACTTCAAATCCTCCATCCTTGCCTTCAGGGATCTAAAGCATTCCCTACCCGTTACCAGGATGGTGACAGTGCTATGCAAGACCGTCACAGTCACCCTCCTGATTGAGCTAAACGGCTAGACTCGGGTAACTAACAGTACCTGAGGTCCCCAAACTAAGCACCGTTCCACTTAATCGCATCAGCGTTCTGAGCCTGACCTTACCATCGCCAGCAGACTTGGTTTCCACAAAAACAAGTAACAGAGTAGCAGCCTCGGCCTTAGTCATTAAAAAAAAAGCAGCATGGAAACACTTATTCAGGTATTCAGGGGCTCAACTTACTTCATCCCAGACACGGGAGACCCGAAGCCTAGGCCCTCCTCAGCCAGAGGGGACGCAAATGCCCCGCTGCCTCCAAAACCAAGGCGAGCATCACGAGCAGCGGGCTAGTCCGGAGCCGGGCAGAGGGGAGTTCCTCGCACACCCCCGCCGAGCGGGGCTCGGGAAGAGGGACAGG